TGGTGCCATCATGGCTCCCCACAGCCTCAAGCTCCTGGGCTCAAGCGATCCCCTGTCTCAGCCTCCCAAGTACCTGGGACTACAGGCACGTGCCACCATGCCAGGCTAATATTTTTAAAAAGAAAAAGTTTTGCAGAGATGGGGGGGGGTCTTGCTCTGCTGCCCAGGCTGGTCTTGAACTCCTGGCCTTCGAGTGATCCTCCTACCTCAGCCTCCCAAAGTGCTGGGATGACAGGTCCGGCAGCTGCCATTTTCATAAGTGATCTCCTCCTTGGGGGTCTGCAGCAGAGTTTCCTGGGGTCTTTTATTCTAAAGGAGGGTGTCTCCAGCGCTTTTGTTCACAGACAGTGGAACAAAAGCTGGAGCTCGATGGGGGGCATGCTTCTGCCTCCCAGGCACGTTACTGGGAGGCCCGGTTGTCCACCAGCGTGGTGGTGAATGTTTCCAAGGCTTGCAGCTTCCTTCCAATGCAGCCTGGCACCCCAGGCGCCTTACTGGACTTGGGAGTCCGAATCATGGACAGGAAGTGAGCTCTGGGCCGGCAAGGGCAGGCTCTCTCTCCTCTGCTTATCCTCACCAGAAATCACGAGCCCCTGTGCTCCCGTCCTACTTACGGGAGTGAGTTATTTACCCGCTCAGAACCTTGGCTTCCCCATCTGTAAAGTGGGTTATGCGACTGGCTGCTTAACATGGCGGTGAGGGGTCCTGGGCGCCATGGTGAGTCCTGACCCAGTGCTTGGGACTAAGTGAAAAGTTGCCATCCCCAGCAGAGCACACCGGGTAGCGAAACTGGTCGGCAGAGTCAGGAGTGTGGCTTGAGGGCGCAGCGGGCTGGTCTGATGGCCTCAGGAGGGAGGGCTTGGGTCCCTGGACTGCCTGTGGGCTCGGCCCCGCCCCTTCCTCAGGTGCTTCCATGGAGTTCAGAGCAGGGTCAGAGCGCGTGCCTTCTTGCAGCTTTGATGTGCCCTTGCCAGGCGGGAGCAGGTGGAGGCCGTGAGTGTGGACAGACACCGTCTCCGTTAGGCCGCGGACTTCATGGTTCGCAGCACTTGGTCCCTCATAACGGCTCTTCTGTGTTTTTCTTCCTCTTGACGCCGCATAACTCACCTAATTGTAGGAAAACAGAGCAGAGGCCGGGCATGGTGGCTCACGCCCGGAATCCCAGCATTTTGAGAGACCAAGATGGGAGAATTGCTTGAGCCCAGGAATTTGAAATTAGCCTGGGCAGCCCCGCGAGACCTCGTCTCTACAATAAATCAAAAAAATTGGCCTGGCGTGGTGGTGCAGGCATGTAGTCCCGGCTACTCAGGAGGCTGAAGCTGGAGGATCACCTGAGCCCGGGAGGTCTAGGCAGGTCTAGGATGCTGGGAGGGAACGCGCATCTCTGGGTTTCCCGGAGAGAGCGATTGAGCTGGCTCCTGCCCGGGGCTGAGTGATGCCTGCCTGGGGCCCTCGCCCGGCCGTTCCCTTGGCAGAGCCTGGCACCGAAGGGGCATCAGGAAAAAGCTTGAGAGGCTCAGGGAGGGGGATTTACCCACCCGCACCCCCCGGGGATGGGAGGCCCAGCATTCTGGGCCCCTGACCTCCTTCCATCTGATAAGCTCTTACATTCTGAAGTGGCTTTCTCCTGGCTGGGTGTGATGGCTCGTGCCTGTGGTTCGGGAGGATCACTTGAGGCCAGCAACTCAGGAGATCAGCTTGGGCAGCACGGCAAAACTCTGTCTCTACCAAAAAAAAAAAAAAAAAAAAAAAAAGCCAGGCATAGCACACACCTGTAGTTCCAGCTACTTGGGAGGCTGAGATGGGAGATCCCTTGAGCCCAGGAGTCGGAGGCTGCAGTGAGCTGTTGCACTCCAACCTCGGCGACAGGGAGACCCTGTCTTCTAAAAAGAGGTTGCTTTCTTAAACCTTTTTTGTGGAAAGGCTGCCCAGGCTTCCTGTGTGGGGGTGGGGAATGGGGGGTGGGCTTCTCTCGGTCCCGGCCTGCTGGGACTCCTCCCTGTCCCAGCCTCCCTGCCACTCAGTGCCCATGGTGGCCACCGTCCCGTCTGTTGCCTTGCCTTCCTTGGGGTGAGGGTCCTTTCTTCACACCCAGGAGCTCTTCTACTGGGGCACGAGTCACCAAGCTCCTGCTGGGTTTAGGGTCCATAGTGTCAGGCTGGGAACTTGGAGTTCGGACTGCCTTGGCCAGGCAGGACCTGACAGCGAGATTGAGGGAAGCCGTGATGGGCAGTGGGGGATGGGAGCGGCCGCTCTGGCCACTCGGGGGGCCTGGTCCTATTGGATGGTAAAATGCCCGGGGCTTTGGGTGGGGAAGGAAACAGACATCTCAGTGGGATTGTTTTTTTTTTACTTGGAAGTCTCACTCTTGTCACCGAGGCTGGCGTGCAGTGGCATGCTTATGGCTGCTGCAGCCTTGACCTGCTGGGCTCGGGCGATCCTTCCGCCTCAGCCTTCCGAGTAGCTGGAATCACAGGCACGCACCACCACACCCGGCTAATAGTTTGGGACTGGGATTCTAGGTGTGAGCCCCCTCCCGGCCTTGGTGGGATCCTTCAGCGTGTGTCGGAGGTGCAGGGCTCGCATCCTCCGCTCACAGCACCCTCTCTGTTCTTTTCCAGCCTGTGGGCCGAAGCTCACCAACTCTCCCACGGTCATTGTCATGGTGGGCCTCCCCGCCCGGGGCAAGACCTACATCTCCAAGAAGCTGACTCGCTACCTCAACTGGATTGGCGTCCCAACCAAAGGTGAGGCGGGTCCCGGGTCCCGCGGGCATCAGACCCAGCGCTGCAACTCCCGCGGCCCGGCCCGGCCACCCCATATGTGGCCCGGCCCGGCCACCCCATACGTGCCCTGGCCCGCCCTTGCTGGACCTCCAGACGGGATTCTGCGGCCCATGCCCTCATGATGGGGTCTGATCCCTGCCTCCCTGGGCCCCCACCACGGGCCACTCTCCTCCTACCCACGGCCCTGAATCCTGCCCATCTCAGAGTTCACCTCCTCCATGAAGCCTTCCGGGCCCTCTCGGTCACATGGATCTTTTTTTCTAAATTCCCGTTGGCCCCACGTGTAAGAGCCACCTGCTGGTGGCTCTGAGTGTCCCGTGCTGTTTGGGAATCTCTGCCTGGCCTTCCCAATGATGGGCACGTCTTGAGGATGGGGACCCGTTTTTATTTTATAATTTAATTAAATTTCCTATTTTTAGTTTTTGAGTCAGGGACTCACTCTGATTGCAGTGGCACCATCTTGGCTCGCCACAACTTCCACCTCCTAGCCTCAAGCAGTCCTCCTGCCTTAGCTTCCTGAGTAGCTGGGACTCCAGGTGCACACTACCATGCCCGGCTAATATTTTTATTTTAATTTTTTGTAGCGACAAGGTCTCATCATGTTGCTCAGGCTGGTCTTTTTTTTTTTTTTGAGTTGGAGTCTCCCTCTGGCGCCCAGACTGGAGTGCAGGGGCTGCTCCCGGCCACCGCAGCCTCGACCTGCTGGGCTCCGGCGATCCTTCCGCCTCAGCCTTCCAAGTAGCCGGAACTACAGGCATGCGCTACCACACCCGGCTAATTTTTTTGATTTATTGTAGAGATGAGGTCTCGCCAAGTTGCCCAGGTGGGTCTCGAACCCGTGGGCTCCGGCAATCCACTTACTTCAGCCTCCCAAAGCGCTGGGATTACAGGCTGAGCCACTGAGCCCGGCTGCTCAGGCTGATCTTTAACCCCTGTGCTCAAGCAAGCTTCCCCTCTTGGCCTCCCAAAGTGCTGGGATTATAGGCACGAGCCACTGTGCCTAGCCATTTTTACTTTTATTTCTGTTTTGAGCCAGAGTCTCACTCTGTCACTCAGTCGTGGCAGTGGCCATGAGACCCCCCCTCCTGATACCATGGGCGGAGATGGTCATCCCTATTTTTGATAGACTTGGGGGGCTGTCCCTGTCCTCACGGTCTCTGGTCCATGATGTCATGAGACGGAGACGGGGGACAGGGCAGGAGGAAACGGCCTCAGGTAGGGCAGGCACTGGGTGCAGCGTGGCGGGCCCGGGGGAGACTGGGCTGTCGCTGGCCCGCCATCCTCAGGAAGGGGAGGAGGACGCTGACCTGGGGTCACAGTCTGGCTTCCGTGTCGAGTCGTCTTTATCGGCCGTGGCTGGCCGTGGGTGGCTCTGCTTGGGTGAGGCCAAGTACGCAGCGTGGGCCGGCCCCTCCTCCCACTCGGTCACCCAGGCTGTTCTCCGTCCCCTCCGCAGTGTTCAACGTCGGGGAGTACCGCCGGGAAGCCGTGAGGCAGTTCAGCTCCTACAACTTCTTCCGCCCCGACAATGAGGAGGCCATGAAAGTCCGGAAGTAAGGCTGGGCCTCCGTGGGCAGCGGGCTTTCGGTGGCTTTGTCCTGTGGAAGGCACAGAGAGCTGGCCTGCAGTGGGTCTCGCTGGTGGCCAGCTGGCCTGGCGGGCATGGGGGCGCGTCTCCTGGCCTCTCTGAGTCTCGCGCTGTCACCCAGGCTGGAGTGAAGTGGCACGATCACAGCTCACCGCAGCCTCAACCTCTTGGGCTCAGGCGATCCTTCTGCCTCAGCCTCCCAAGTAGCTGGGATTGTAGACGTGTGCCCCTGTGCCTGGCTAGTTTTTTAAACATTTTCTGTACAGATGGGGTCTCACTGTGTTGCCTAGGCTAGTTTCAGATTCTTGGTCTCAAGCGATCCTCCTGCCTTGGCCTCCCAAAGCACGGGGATTACATGCATGAGCCACCACACGTGGCAAGCATATAGGTTTTAGGGGCTTCTTAAGGCAGTTGTTGCAGTGTGTAGCCAGGCACGAGTGCTGCCCGCCAGGGCGCTTGGAGCCATCCTTTCTGGGCCTGGAGTTAGAAGCCTGTGGGCCCAAGTAGGACCTCGCCAGCCTTGACCCAGCACTGCACTGTCAGCATGGAATGGCTGGTTACTCTTGTCTGTGGGGGCATGGAGGATTGCACGCCTCCCCAATGGACAGGCCGCTCTGATGTGTAGCTTCCCTTTCTTGTGTGTTCCAGGCAGTGTGCCTTAGCTGCCCTGAGAGACGTCAAAAGCTACCTGGCCAAGGAAGGCGGGCAGATTGCAGTAAGTCGTGGGGGTGCAGCTACTTGGTCTCCAGCCCCAGTGGGAAGGTGTCCTTGCTGGCTTGGGCAGTGCTGGGCGCCAACGCGGGGTTCCAGCACAGGGACATGGCCCCACGGGTGGACGGAAAAGGGGCCAGAGCAGCCAGTGACCCAGGAGGGCGGTCTCAGTCTCGCGGTGGACTCAGGGACACAGCCCTGAGACGCTCAGGCGTCCCTGGTCAGCTCCCGTCTCCAGGGGTCAGGACCTAGGTGCCCCTCCATGTCCACCCTCCCACTGTGTGCTGCTGCTTGCTCTCCACTTTTGGGCTGGGCTGTTCCCAGCCCTCCCTCATTCCTGGAGGGAATTCCCACATTCCATCAGCAGTGGACACATCCTGGAGAGGCCCGTGGGTAGTGCCATCTTCCCTGGAAGGGCATTTTGGGGCTTATTCCTAAAAACAACAGGACTGGTTTCCTTGCTGGCTTTGCTAAGCATGTTTTTTCTTTTTTTTGAGTTGAGGTCTCACTCTGTCATCCGGGCTGGAGTGCAATGGCACACTGCAGTCTTGACCTCATGTCTGACTGCGCCTCCTGCCTCAGCCTCTGGAGTAGCTGGGTCTACAGATGCATGTCACCACACCTGGCTAATTTTTTGATTGTTTTTTTTTTTTTGTAGAGATGAGGTCTTGCTACATTAGCTAAGTTGGTCTTAAACTCCTGGGCTCAGGCCATCCTCCCGCCTTGGCTTCCCAAAGTGCTGGGATTATAGGCTTGAGCCGTCGTGCCCGGCCTGGTCAGTGCTGTCAAACTCACGCACAGATGCTTCTTCCTGGCCCTTCTCTCTCCCCGCCAGGTCTTCGATGCTACCAATACTACTAGAGAGAGGAGACACATGATCCTCCATTTTGCCAAAGAAAATGACTTCAAGGTGAGCCAGACGTCTCGTCTTGCCCCAGAGAGTTTGGGAGAGGAAGACGCCTCCAGGACCGGCCATGCCCTGGTTCCTGCTCGGTCCCTCACCTGCCACTGCCCGAGTTTTGCTGCCTGAAAACAGAACCTTCCTTGCGGGAGGGCTTGGGGGCTGTGGGGCTTCCCTCTGCTGGGACAGGGGAGGAAGTGGCAGAGAGGAGGGGTCTTTCCTGTCTTTGGGAATTGATGAATGGTGTCCCTTCTCCTTGCATGTGACGGTGGTGTCACTGTGATGGCAAGGCTGGCCACTTATGGTATTAGTTGGTTTTTTGTTTTGGATCAGGTTTTCACTCTGTCACCCAGACTGGAGTGCAGTGGCATGATCCCAGCTCACTGCAGCCTCGACCTCCTGGGCTCAGGTGATTCTCCTGAGTCAGCCTCCCAAGTAGCTGGGATGATAGGCATGCGCCACCACACTCGGCTAAGTTTTTTTTTTTTGAGTTGGAGTCTCACTCTGTCACCCAGACTGGAGTGCAGTGGCCGCTCCTGGCCACCACAGTCTCGACCTGCTGGGCTCCGGCGATCCTTCCACCTCAGCCTTCCGAGTAGCCGGAACTACAGGCATGCGCCACACGCCCGGCTGATTTTTTAATTTATTGTTGAGATGAGGTCTCGCTGCCCAGGTGGGTCTTGAACCCGCGGGCTCAGGCCATTCACTCACCTCAGCCTCCCAAAGGCGCGGGATGACAGGCTGAGCCACCGAGGCCAACTCCCGGCTAAGTTTTGTAGAGACAAGGTCTCGCTGCATTGCCTAGGCTGGCCTGAAACTCCTAGCTTCAGGCAGTCCTCCCGCCTCAGCCTCCCTACGTGCTGGCTGGCAGGTTTGAGCCTCCACGCCCGGCCGCTCCGTGGTGTTTGTTGTTCTCTAACCGTTTCTCTCTTGCTCCCTCCAGGCGTTCTTCATCGAGTCCGTGTGCGATGATCCCACGGTTGTGGCGTCTAACATCATGGTAAGACGACTGGACCCGCCGTGCTGACCCCGGAGGCCTGGCTCCATCTGGGGTCTTTGAGGATAGTGGGCAGCGTATGGGCCTGGTGGGTACAGATGAGAGGTAGTAGGGGTGAGACCCCGGCCTGCATGTGCATCTTTTCTTTCTTTTCTTTCTTTTTTTTTTTTTGAGTTGGAGTCTCACTCCGTCACCCTGGCTGGAGTGCAGTGGCATGCTCACGGCACTGCAACCTCCACGCACTGGGCACAGGCGATCCTTCTGCCTCAACCTTCCAAGTAACTGTAACTACAGGCATGCACCACCATGCCCAGCTAATTTTGTGATGTATTGTGGAGATGAGGTCTCACCAAGTTGCCTAGACTGACCTCGAACCGGTGGGCTCAGGCAATCCTCTCACCTTGGCCTCCCAAAGTGCTGGGATTTTAGGTGTGAGCCACCCTGCCTGGCCTTGCATGTGCATCTTTAAAGGGTGCTAAGCATGCACTCACTCTTGTAGTTTCTCCAAGGTAGTTGAAATAGTTATAAGTATTTCTACAAAATGAGTTCATGTTTCAAAAAGGGCTGTATGAATTGTGAAAAATCAAATCAAGCCAGGTGCAGTGGCTCACACCTGTAATCTCAGCGCTTTGGGAGGCTGAGGTGGGAGGATTGCCTGAGCCCGAAAGTTCCAGACCACTCTAAGCAGCATGGTGAAATCTCGTCTCTACAGAAAATCAAAAGAATTAGCCAGATGTGGCGGTCCGTGTCTGCAGTCCCAGCTACTTGGGAGTCTGAGGCATGAGGATCGCTTGAGCCCAGGAGGTCGAGACTGCAGTGAGGTCCACTGTGCTCCAGCCAGGGCAACAGTGAGACTGCGACTAAAAACATGTAAAAGAAGGAAAAATAATCAGATCAGATTTGGTCAGTGAGTCTGAAGGGAGGGGCTCAGAGTTCGAGCCCTGGAAGTTGCTGTAATCTGCACACGGTGTTGCTGGAGTCCTTCGGTGTGGCTCTCCTTGTCCCTCGGTCGTGACACGGTGTGACTGTGAAGTCCTGTTTCCCAGCGAGTTGTCACCCACGTGCTGGGGGAGGAGGTCCTCGTTTGTCAGGTGGTCCCTGACCATAGAGACATTTGTCTTGACCCTCCGTATCCAGAAATCCCTGTCTCTGATTAAACCTCAAAGCGGCCTTACAGGACGGGCCCGGGAATTTGTGAACGTAAATATTGTTTCAGCGTGTGCTAAAGTACACACTGCATGAGCTTACCACCTTGGCCGTTGCTGAATGTACCGTCATCACGGGGTCTTCGTGGGCGTCCATCTCTGTCTCTCTGGCAGGCAGTTCTGTCACCACGGAGCCTCAGGCTGTGACTCCGCCCCCAGCCTTTCTCTTTCTCTTCAGTGCTGGGTCAGATGTCTTTATCGGGAGACCCTCTGCCCCCCCCATTTGAAAGCCCCAAATCCTGCTTAATCTCGCCAGAAAGCATCCAGCGTGACCATCAGCTGCCTCTTTGTGGTGTTACAGGAAGTCAAAATCTCCAGCCCGGATTACAAAGATTGCAACTCGGCAGAAGCCATGGACGACTTCATGAAGCGGATCGGCTGCTACGAGGCCAGCTACCAGCCCCTGGACCCCGACAAGTGCGACAGGTAATTCCCAAGAGTGACCACAGGCGGGCTTTTCGTGCTCGCTTTTTAGAAGACGGTCTGCTCTGCCGCGCCGGCTGGAGTACAGTGTCGTCATCGCAGCTTATTGCAACCTCGAACTCCTGGCCTCAAGCAGTCCTCCCACTTGGGCCTCCCTAAGGGGTAGGAGTACAGGCACGAGCCAGCCCGTTCGACTTTAAAATTTGGTTTCCAAGGAGATGGAATCTTGGAATCACCTCAAGTCGATCTTGAACTCCTGGGCTCCAGCAGTCCTCTTGCTTTGGCCTCCCAAAGGGCAGGGATTGCGGGTGGGAGCCACTGCGCCTGACTGTTGGCGTTTTCCTTTTGTTGGTTGGTTGGTTGTTTTTTTTGAGTTGGGGTCTCACTCTGCCACCAGGGCTGGAGTGCAGGGGCACCATCACGGCTCACTGCAGCCTCGACCTCCTAGGCTCAGGTGATCCTTCTGCCTCAGCCTCCTGTGTAGCTGGGACGACAGGTGTGCCACCATGCCTGGCTGATTTGGGGATTTTTTGTAGAGATGAGGTCTTCCTATGCTGTCCAGGCTGGTTTCAGTCCCACTTGAACCTAGGCTTCCAAAGTGCTGAGATTACAGGCACAAAGCATTTGCTCCTGGAGACCTTTACAAACTGAAAGTGTCTTTTTGGAAAAATCTGTGCTGACACACCAGACTTGGGATATTTCAGGAGTTGGATATACAGTTGAGTTGAGTCTTGCTGTCGTCTCTCTGACAGTTTCTTTATTTTCTGGATTTTTGTTTTTGTGTTTTTTAGAGACAGGGTCTTACTCTGTTGCCCAGGCTGGAGTGCAGTGGCACAATCATAGCTCACTGCAGTCTCGAACTCCTGGGCCCAAGCGCTCCTCCTTCCTCAGCCTCCATAGTGCTGGGAGTTCAGGCACACACCACCACACCTGGCCCCTTCATTTTCTTTCCCGTTTTCTTCCTTTTTTCTCCCCACCCTGGGAGGCCGGGCAGCCTCCTGCTCCGACACACACTGCGGCAGCTGGCACAGCTGGGGCCTCAGCCCTCGGAGAGGAGGGTCCACGGTGCCCGGCAGGGGTGGGGCGTACCCCCAGCCGTCCCACGCTCAGGCCGCATCTCTGGAGCCGGCCTGATGGGGCCCTCGCGCGCCTCCCTGCAGGGACCTGTCGCTGATCAAGGTGATTGACGTGGGCCGCCGCTTCCTGGTGAACCGGGTCCAGGACCACATCCAGAGCCGCATCGTGTACTACCTGATGAACATCCACGTGCAGCCGCGCACCATCTACCTGTGCCGGCACGGCGAGAACGAGTACAACCTGCAGGGCCGCGTGGGCGGCGACTCGGGCCTGTCCAGCCGCGGCAAGAAGGTGGGCGTCTGTCGCCTGGTGTGCTCCCCGTGTGTGAATGTGTCTGTGTCGGTGTGTCTCTGTGTATCTTTTTATTTACGGGTGTCTCTGTGTGTCTCTGTGTGTCTGCGTTTGTATCTCTGTGTATCTCTCTCTCTCTATGCCTCTGTGTCTCCGTGTGTCTCTGTGTGTGTCTGGGTCTCTTTGCGTGTCTCTCTCTGTGTCTCTGTCTCTGTGTGTCTGTGTATCTCTCTCTTTGTCTCTGTCTCTCTGTGGTATGTCTCTCTGTGTGTCTGTGTATGTTTTTTTTTTTTTTTTGAGTTGGAGTCTCACTCGGTTGCCCAGACTGGAATGCAGTGGCC